ACCCAGGCTTGCGAAGAGGGCCCGCAAGAGGATTTGCATAGTATACCTTGGGAGAGGGCTGCTATGGGTCATGGGGGCAGAGCGCCCGCTTTGCGTGCAGGAAGTCCCAAGTTCAGTCCCTGGCATCTCCAGGGTGGTGTGGAAAATTTTGGCCCAAGACCCCGGGAAATGGCTCCACTGCCTTCAGAGTGGGCTCGGACAGTGGTCTTGACAGCAAATTGGCCAGCTGACGACCTCTCACCTTCGTCCCCTGTCAGCGGGGTGCAAATACATCATATGATGCCATATAGATCTTTTTTTTAAAAAAGTTTGTATTTATTTGTATATATAAATTGATGGATTGTTTTCATCCTTCTGGCTGTGCACTGCTCTGAGCCTGTTTCGGGGGCAGGGTGATATAAAAGTTTTATTTAATAATAATAATAATTATTATTATTAATGAAATAAGGCACTTTTACTAACAGGTCTCTCATTGAGAGGGGCTCTGACTTAGGGGTAGAACATCTTGCTGTGCATGCAGAAGGCTCCAGGTTCAATTCCAAACATACTGAGCTTAGCAACCTAGTGGTCCACCTTCTGCACAAGCGTTGCTTGAGTGTGCTGTTACATACCTGTGTATAACACTTGACCTCCCATGCAGGGTTGTTGTAAGACTTGCAATAACAAGTTTGGGTATGAAGGTGTTGGCTTCCCTTGTTGCTTGATATTTTATTTAAGGCATTGATATGCTGCCTCTCCAGAATCCTGCTTGAAAGTACAGAAGAATATCTGCAGTGCTTTAGCATGCTCCTGGTACCTATTTGTGCTTGCTATTGCAAGCCTTACAACATCCCTGTAAGGAAGGCTGCTACCATTTTGCCATGAGAGAGAGTGGCTTCTCTAAGTGCATGTGATGGATGGAATAAAACAGCTGTATTTTTCTCTTATTCAAGTACCTTCCAAAAGATGCTTTTGGCCCTGGGGGAGGGGGGAACAGGTGCTTTTGCTAGTATTAGTGGGGAGAAGGAGGTAAATCATGAAGTGCATTGGCCTGGATTGCCCAAGCGAGCCTGATCCCACCTGATCTCATCAGATCTTGTAAGCTAAGCACGGCCAGCCTGGTTGGTCCTTGGATGGGAGGTTACCAAGGCAGCCCAGGGTTGCTATGCAGAGACAGGCAATGGGAAACCACCTCTTTTTGCCTTGAAAGCAGGGCCATGCTAAGTTGGCCACAACTTGACTATACTTTATACAGGCAGATCAGGGAAACTGTCTGCATTTGAGGGTGAGTTCCTTCCTCGGTGCTGCCCTGCCTTCTGCTGCCTACCGACTGTTTTAAAATAAGAATGACAAAGATCTAGGGATCCAGCAATGGAATGCCTGTGTTATATGCCGTTGCTCTGAGCTGCTCTCTTGACTGAGCCTTGGTGAGCCCTGGCAGAGAGGAAGCCTTTACTATCTCTTGCACGTGTTAGAATGATCAAGGAAGGCGGTGCTGAATCTGGCATTAGAGACGGCTAGCTTCCATTTCGGCTAGGGCTGCCAGCCTCCAGGTGTGTCCAGTATTACAGCTGATCTCCGAATGACAAGAGATCAGTCCCCATGGAGGAAACGACAGCCTCTGGGGTAGAGATGTGAAGGACCGGGAAAGGCCCGTTTTTTTTCTGAAGCCTTTTTTGTTTTTTCTGAAAAATTGAAAAAAGAAAAGAAAAAAATTGATTATGGAATGTTTTACTTTAACATGATGAATAAAATATTTTAAGATAAGGGGTTCAAATATTTTCCAAGTCATTTCTAAAATATGTATATATATATGGTATCAGATTGATCTAATTTCTGTGCACCGAGGACAAGCAAGTCCTCGGTTACAAACTGAACTCTCCAATGCAAGAACAAGATGCATTTCTTCCTTTAGGAGGTGCTGTTGTCAGAAGAAAATAAAAAAGGTTTCAGTTTTGTTTTTGCATGTGGGTGGGTGAGTATTCTGTTTGTAATAATTGTTTGGATACACTATATCTTTAATATGCTAGTTGTGATCATTTCATGCCAAGTAAAAATGTCCATAGTCATAGTTTGCCCAACAAGGTCTCATTTATGTCAGATCTGGCCCTCATAACGAATGAGTTCAACGCCCCTGGCTTAGAGGGAGCATTGGTGGTGGGCTCCCCCTCACTGGCAGTCTTCAAGCAGCAGCTGTCAGGGATGCTTTAGGTCAGAGGTGTCGAACTCATTCATGAGGCCTGGATCTGACATAAATGTCACTGTGTCGGGCCGGGCCAAGTGTGCCATAAAACCTAATGCCCGGTACCAGAGATATAAAGGACAGCAGCTGGTAAGCTCTCAGTTAATGTATCCTCATTGCAAAGCCCCATTGGGCTGGGGGGGGGGGTGCAAAGGAAAACCCCCACATGGGCGGACTGGAAAGCCAGTGGTGCACCACTGGGCATGCTGCTTGACTGCTGCAGACGAGGTTGTTCAGCCATAATGAAGCCCCAGTTGGAGGGGCTCCACCCTCTCCCCTCCCTGAGCAGTCTCCTTTTCCCTCCCGGACCTTATGTTTGACACCCCTGCTTTTTTGGCTGATCCTGCATTGAGGAAGCAGTTGGACTAGTAAGAGCAAAAGTATAAGCATAAAGGTTTGGAAATCCTTAAAATTTCCTGGTGGCAGCCAATGTTCCCTCTAAGCTGTGGAGTCTTGTGAGCAAAAATTCTACTTGGTGAGCTACCGGCATTAAAGTTGTGAGCGAGCGATTTGGCTACTGCATAGATTAGTTTGCTCTGGAGCCATCCTTCCTGAGCAAAGACAAAAATGTGTGAGCCTGAGGCTAAAAAACTGTGAGCTAGCTCACACTAACTCAGCTTAGATGGAACACTGGTGGCAGCAGAATCGACCTAGTTAAACAAAATATAGAGAACTTTTAAAGTGAAACTAGTCCTCCCCAATAAGGAGGACGTCACACCCCTGCTTTAGGCTGATCCTGCATTGAGGAAGCCGTTGGAGTAGATGACCTGTATAGCCCCTTCCAGTCCTGTGATTGCATATTGGCTGGTGTATTCATTTTTTATAGATAAGCAATTTCTGTGTTCTTGAGAGCTAGAAGCTTGCGTTTAAAAACATGCAAATTTAGATTCTAGCCCTGTAGCAGGGCAAAGGCATACAACAGTCTAATGAATGCAAGTTGTTTGAAGTATATGTCCCGCTTGGAGGTAACTTCATATTTGGAAACAGAAGATGCTTAAATGGAAACCTGAGACTGTTTCCGAAGCAGTGTTGCTCTTGTAATCAAAACTATATAAAAAAGAAATGAATAATGGAAGCTGGCTTCTAAATGCATCAGACTTCTGCTCAGTAATTCCAGTTGTGGTTGGCTACATTCTGAGTGGTAACTGCTGCCCCTTTTAGAAAGAGAAGACACACCTCTCCACTTCAGCCACACAGGAACAGCCTGGGAGATTTTGCTTCAGCAGACTGTGTGTTTTGATTTATATGCCCATCTGTGAATGGCACGTGGCCAGACAGGGAGAGCCCAGAGCATAGCCCGCCTTCTTCCCTGGTTCGAACGGTTCAATAACTTAACAACTATGTAATGTGTTCTTTTGCCATGTATATTTGTGGACACCTTGACCAAGTTCTCAAGTAGAAAATTAAGACCCGTGGACGCTGTACCTGGAATAAATGCTACAACCTAGGCAGATACGTAGCCTTCTCTCTATTCACATTTCACATAGTTATAAAACAAGACAGATCTTACAGTATCTGGAGTTTGCTGGTGGCGGAGATGGCATCAAAGGATAACGTAACTGCATTGTTTTCAGTGGTAATCTACCTTGTGTCTCAGCAACCAAGGTGGACAATAAACAGAATAGGAATGGGGAAAGGTGGGGCATTATACAAAGCTGCCTTATGCTAAATCAGACAACTGGTCCATCAAAGTCAGTATTGTCTACTCAGACTAGCGGTGGCTCTCCAGGGTCTCAGAGTCTTTCACATCAATTGATGACAGATCCTTTAACTGGAGACGCTGAGGACTGAACTTGGGACCTTCTGCATGCCAAGCAGATGTTCTATCACTAAGTCATAGCCTTTCTCCAAATATAGTTCAAGAGGAATCGTATATAAGGGCTGTATTCTGCATAACTGTAGCCTGAAATATGTGAAGCCACTCTGGTACTGAAGGAGGCTAAGTGGGTGCTTGTTAGGGTGATTTAGCCAAAGGTCAATATATCTGACCCATACCCTGGATCAATGAAGCCAGTTTCTGCCCTTAAGCCTCTGTACTTAAAACCTGAAGTCTGGGCTGAACCTAATAAAGGAGTAAAACGTGTACATATCTCCTGTATCGTTCAGCATGCTTCTCCATTTGGATATTTTGCTACAATGATTTTTTTTTTAAGGTTTCGAAAGCTTTAGTTAATGGTGTTGGAATGGTACCAGTGTGTGTGGCTTGGGTGGAAAATGATTTGAGCCACCACCATCCTAGAAGCACAAGCTCCTGCCATGGAATCACAGGAACCTTCTGGATGTGGTGGCTGAACGTGCAGTCAAGTTGCTGCCAACTTATAGTGGTGACCCTTTGGGGTTTACAAGACAAGAGATGTTCAGAAGTGTTTTGCCATTGCCTGTCTGTTGTAACAACCCTGGACTTCATTGGTGGTCTCCCACCCAAGTACTAACCGTAGCCAACCCTGCTTAGCTTCCAAGATCTGATGAGATCGGGCTAGCCTGGGCCATCCAGTAAAGTGCTTGAAGGCTAGTAACTTTGTTTTTTAATCAAAGATGGAGGAAGGTCTCATGGGCAGTACTTTGAGTCTGTCTCCCATTTGGTACTGCGGGCAACATTAACAGAGCCAGGAATTCAGAAGAGAAGTTCATTGTGGCCGATAGAGATCTTTACATCCTGGTTGGGAACAGTCTGAGAATTAATCCAGTTTAAGCTTTGTGTGTTGACACTTTGGTATTCCCAAACAGGAGATTCTTTACAGATTGGCAATGAATGCAGCCACAGAGAAGATCTGTTGGCTTGCTCTGCATGACCCCAGGTTCTTTCCAGTTGACTTCTGTACCATGAGCCATGCCTGAAAATGGAATTTAATTTTCTGTAGTGTTTCTTACTGCAGATCTATAGGCCAACAGAAGCAGCCTTGTGCAGTACTGTTGTTCATAACTGGTGGAAGAAACGGTAGCTGAGCATTTGCTGTTCCGAATTCAGGTGCAACTTGATTGCTTTCTTTTCTTGCTTCAGACCTCGATGGAGACAACTGTGTGTTCGATGGGATGATTTACAAGAGCGGTGAGACGTTCCAGCCAAACTGTAAATACCACTGTACGTGCAGGGATGGACAGATAGGCTGTGTTCCGCGTTGTAACCTGGACCTCCTGCTTCCTGGCCCGGAATGTCCCTTCCCAAGGAAAATTGAAGTCCCCACAGAGTGCTGTGAGCGGTGGGCTTGTGACTCCAAAGAAGATGTGGACTTGGGCAGCTTGGCGATGGCAGGTTAGTGTTTCCGGGCTGGAAGCTACTTCTGTGGAACCTTCTTGCAATTGCAGAATTGGACTGGAAGGATCAGTGACAAATAGTTTGTGCATCCTGTACACAACAGATGTCTAAAAGTGCCCTCTTGAGCTTTTGTCCATTTGGTCATGCCTGCCTTCTTTCCAAAACTTGTCTCATCTGTTCCCTTCTGAAATGGCTAGATAACCCATGCTCAGTTTCAGGTGGGGGGCCTTGTTGGTCTGCAGTAGATGAGCACAATTCAAGTCCAGTAGTACCTAAAAGATCAGCAAGATTTGGAGAGCCACAACTCCCTTTGTCAGAGCATCGACTCTTGGAAGCTTATACCATGGACATCTGGTTGGTCTTTAAGGTGCTGCTCGACTCAAATCAGAACATAAAAGAAGCCATGTTGGCTCAGGCCAGTGGCCCATCCAGTCCAACATTCTGTGTCACGCAGTGGCCAAAACCCAGGTGTCGTCAGGAGGTCCACGAGCGGGGCCAGAAGCCCTCCCACTGTTGCCCCCCCCCCAGCCCAAAGAATACAGAGCATCATTGCCCCACACAGAGTGTTCCATCTATGTTGTTGTCCAGTCGCACAGTCGAGTCCGACTCTTCGCGACCCCATGGACCAGATCATGCCAGGCCTTCCTGTCTTCCACCGTCCTCTGAAGTTGGCTCAATTTCATGTTCGTTGCATCGATGACACTGTCTAACCATCTCATCCTTTGCCGTCCCCGTCTTCTTTGACCTTCAATCTTTCCCAGCATCAGGGTCTTCTCCAGTGAGTGCTCCATTCTCATTTGGTGGCCAAAGTATTTGAGCTTCAGTGTCATTATCTGGATCTCCAGGAAGAGTGTTCCATCTAAACCCTGTAGCTAATAGCCACTGATTGACCTCTGCTCTTAAAAACATAAGAGAAGCCATGTTGGACCAGGCCAATAGCCCATCCAGTCCAACACTCTGTGCCACACAGTGGCCCAAACCCAGGTGCCATCAGGAGGTCCACCAGTGGGGCAGAACTCCAGAAGCCCCTCCCACCTTGGCCCCCCAAGCACCAAGAATACAGAGCGTCACTGCCCTGGACATAGTGTTCCAGCTATACCTTGCGGCTAATAGCCACTGATGGACCACTGCTCCATAATCCTGCTCTTTGTGTTCAGGGATAGAAAAGTGTGCGGATGGCTCAATGATAATATCTCTTTGCAATGGGTAATCTTCAAAACCTTTGAAGCCAGCTTCTGGCAGGTGACACTCGTTAGAATCGTCTGGTGGCCTGGTTGACAACCTAACCGATGGCTTCAGAAGGGAGTTGTGTTGCTCTACAGTAGAACAGCTAGAACTGAGTCCAGCAGTACCTTAGAGGCCAACGAGACTTTCAGGATATGAGACTTCAAGAGCGAAAGATTGTGTCTATTGAAGAGCTTTGACTCTGAGAAAGCTCATACCCCCAAAATCTTGTTGGTTTCTAAGGTGCTACCAGACTCAAATCCAGCTAACCTAATGGACGGCTCTCTGTTTGGCTGCTTCTGGCAAGTAAGAATTGGCAAAGCAACTTTCTGTAAGAGAGAAGAGTCGATTGTGTTTATCAGGCTCTAGGGGCCTTACAAGTGGGCTGGTAACTTCTGCAGTCTTGATGGCAAGGCAAGTTCCCAGGGAGCCAGATTGGTGTAGTAGTTAGGAGCAGTGTTCCCTCTAAGCTGAGTTAGGTCAAGCGGAGTTAGTGTGAGCTAGCTCACAGTTTTTTAGCCTCCGGCTCACACATTTTTGCCTTCGCTCACGAAGGATGACTCCAGAGCAAACTCATTCATGCAGTAGCCAAATCACTCGCTCACAACTTTAATGCCGGTAGCTCACAAAGTAGAATTTTTGCTCACAGGACTCCATAGCTTAGAGGGAACATTGGATAGGTATATTTACTCTAATCTGGAGAACCAAGTTTGATTCCCCAGTCCTCCACTTGCAGCCAGCTGGGTGACCTTGGGCAAGCTGCAGTTCTCTCAGAGCTCGTATCTCAAGAGCAGCTCTCTCAGAGCTCTCTTAGTCCCACCTACCTCACAGGGTGTCTGCTGTGGGGAGGGAAAGGGAAGGAGATTGTAAAATGCTCTGAGACTCCGAGTGAAGGGCGGGGTATAAATCCAATCTCTTTTTCTTCTATTGCCTATGAAGTAATTTCCATCCATGAAAATCTCTGGTGGGTTCAAATATTACAGATACTTCCATTTTCATGGGGGGGGGGACATCTTAAAACAAATTTTTAATCAGACTTTCCACTGGTCATTTGGATATGACTATCCCTCAGCTAAGGGTGGTCCATTCCACTGGAGGAGGAAGAGTTTTTCATATCAGCCTCGTGTTGCTGGAACATACCGTTCTGAGTTGAGCGGAGTAAGAAGATGCAACCCAGTTAAGTCCAAAAGCCATTTGAAATTATACATACCTACAATCTCAAACACATTCCAAGGTCGCCTCTCATTCCGACTCCTTCAAGTGTGTTCCATAACACTACTCTCCTCTGCTCGTAAAGTTTGATAATGTTTACATTTTACAGCTTCAGAGTATGCGGTGATGTCACTGAACAGGATCATAAACCCCTCTGGGTGCCCCGACAGTGTGCATTTCTCATGATTGGCCCAAGCTATGTTTTGTAAAACTGCTCAACAGTCGCCTGTTCAATGAAATGACTTTATGGCTCTGGACATAAAGCAATCAAGGTTTTTTTGCTCACTGGTGCTTCGTACATTTGCATAAAAAGCCGATCCAGAAACTGCGTAAACAAGCTGGGTAGATTGTACCGGATGAGAAGGTGCATTTTTATGCTGAGTGGTGACTGTTGCGCGTATGAGTTGCCTTGGCAAAGTGGAGGTAGAAGATGGAGCATTTGGATGTCACACATGAAGTTCTGTCTGTTAGTGGCAGGGGTCATTTCCTGCAGGAGCGCACAGGAGCGGAGCTCTGGCAGTAAAGAGCCCAGGGGGGCGGGCACTTGCAACAAGCCCCACCCCCTGCTCCCAGCAGCCCTCAGTCAGAGCAAGAAGCAGCCAGGTAAGTTGCAGAGCCCCCCCCCCGGCCCCCCCGGTCCAAAACAGTCCAGTGGCACCTTTAAGACCAAGTTTTATTCAGGTACAAGCTCTCCCTCCTCTGTGAGGACAGATCT